TGAACCCTTGGATTTAATAACTGGTTGACCCTCCTTTGGCAGCAATAACCTCAACCAAACGTTTCCTATAGTTGCATATCAGACCTGCACAACGGTCAGGAGGAATTTTGGACCATTCCTCTTTACAAAACTGTTTCAGTTCAGCAATGTTCTTGGGATGTATGGCCACAGCATCTCAATTGGGTTGAGGTCAGGACTCTGACTGGGCCACTCCAGAAGGCGTATTTTCTTCTGTTGAAGCCATTCTGTTGTTGATTTACTTCTGTGCTTTGGGTCGTTGTCCTGTTGCATCACCCATCTTCTGTTGAGCTTCAATTGGTGGATGGACAGCAAAATGTCTTGATAAACTTGAGAATTCATTTTTCCGTCGATGATGGCAATCTGTCCAGGCCCTGAGGCAGCAAAGCAGCCCCAAACCATGATGCTCCCTCCACCATACTTCACAGTTGGGATGAGGTTTTGATGTTGGTGTGCTGTGCCTTTTTTTCTCCACACATAGCGTTGTGTGTTCCTTCCAATCAACTCAACTTTGGTTTCATCTGTCCACAGAATATTTTGCCAGTAGTGCTGTGGAACATCCAGGTGCTCTTTTGCAAACTTCAAACGTGCAGATCAGAACACATTTTATGACCAATTTATGCAGAAATCCAGGTAATTCCAAAGGGTTCACATACTTTTTCTTGCAACTGTATATATAGTACAGATCTAAGATTATGTATTATTTCTACATCTGACTCCTGTGATCAGCTGGAAAAAATATATGAAGATAATTAAATATAACTGTCTGGGATGTAAATATAAATGTCGGTGTTGCCAAGTCAAAAAGGTTCATTACAAACATTTTAGTGATTTGGTCGAGATCAATGTGGGGAAACTTCATTGCCATTATTTGAAAGTCCAGATTAGCTCCTTAATACTGCAGGTCTATTGATAGTGATTATAGGATTAACTGTACAAGAAAGTTTGTGATAATAAACATTAGCTGAAGATGATGCCAAATCAAGACAGCTTCTTTATGTTTTTTTTACTAGTGCACTGCTGCTGAAGATAGTGGGAATCAGAACATAACGGGAAGAGAGACATCACTCCTGCCCCATCTCCCCTCTCAGTTTGTAAGTGTCTGTTTGTTTGCTCAGGCTCCAAGGGAAGCAGTTATAGATCATATTTGTTGAATACACTGAAGCTGATTAGTGGGGACGAGTTGAATGCTCAAAGCTGCTTTTCCTAATCCCGAGATTAGTAAAATAATAAGAGGCCTGTCTTGCTGCTCACGCTCACACAGAGACAAAACGCTGGTTTTGGCTCAGTGCTGAAAACAGAGCTGGTATCTCCACTCGCTCAGAACAGTCCCTTGGCCACAGTAGTGACAGTCCTAACTGGGAGAGCCACAGCAAGGCTTATTGGCAGACCAGTGTTTCCAGTGTGAGCCGTGCCCAGGAACTAGCTAGCACGTTGGATAGTGGAAACTAATGCTGGGTGGAAGATTAACCAGTAGCATAATTGAAGAAGTTCCAGGCTTTCTCTTTCAAATGATATGTTTATTGGGTTCCACTCTCTTCTTTGTTTACTATGGTTCACTATTCATACTTCTATTGTTCAAATGTGGGTGCACACACCTAAACCGGCACACCATTTTGGGCCTGATTATTAACCTCAGGGGGCAAAATCTTCAGTTATATTGTGAATACAAAAGCTACAAGTAATAAGAAAGGTAACAGTTGGTGAAGCAACATTTTGTACCGATGGATGAAGTCTAAAAATACCTCCCTTAGATGGGAATAGAAACTTATGAGCTTCACTAACTTACTATTCTATGATAAATATTATGTATTAGACATTTTAGCAACTCCTGAGATAAAAAAGATGTTGGTGATCCACACAGATGAATGAATGCACATGAATAAGCAAAAGGGGAAGCAAAGCAGAGAAAATGGGAAATACAATTATCCGTGTCTGTTCTACCCCAGGGAATTTGCAGGATAATGCCACTGGATCTAATTCACTTGCAAAAGAGTTGAGCAGGATGTAAAGCTTGGTTCACAGTGGACTCAGACCATGAAAAAGCCTCTTTTCCTCCAACCTTTCACACAGACAAAGAGCTGCCGCATCTCCACTCCATGTGAGAATCAGAGCTTTGAATCTGCATGTGGGACAGAGGCACCAAGGCTAAAAACAAACACTCACCATGAATGAATATATACGTTTGCTTTATACTGATTGTCCTTTCATACAAACACTTTGAAAGAGAGCAGGCCAGCATACGGTCGTGAGGACCGGCTACTCACCCAACATTAGAGGGAGTGCATCTATTAATGTATTCTTTTTAAAAACTGCTACTCAGTGGACCGTGAATTGAGCCCTTTCATAGGAGCCCATCTCATAATGGTGTGAAATTAGGTGAAAATAAGCAGACTTAAAAGAGACGGCTTTGCAGGAAGTCTTCCCCGAATGTCTGTGGAGGTTTGCTGAGGTGACCCAAACAAATCAGCTTTTGAAGGGAGTCAAGGGTGAATTCAGCGCACTGGGAAACAAACACATACGCAGGCTTCTCTGGCTGTCAGCGGATATGCATGTCAGAGCTAGTGCTGTCTTTTTCTCATTGCTAGGATTTTATCACGGTGTTCACTGCCTTCTGGGAAATGCTTGTCCCTGGACTGCCAACTGTAACCAAAACATACAGCCTGTCAAACTGATCGCCATGCACATGCAGAAAAGGAATACCATCAAACACTGCTGAACTTTCAAGTTTGAAAACCAAACTCATAATATTCATGACGATTAATACATTGTTAGGAGCATAATAAACTAAATCGCACTTCTATTTGTAGCAGGGAACTGTTGCATGGAAAGGCATCTGTGTGCTGCATATTTATCAAAGTGACAGCCGGCGTCAGGGAAACAGGGACTCCAACGTGACCACTTACTCACTAATGGCTTACACAGGCACGGATCATTATCCCTCACAGCACAACACAACACCAGGCTGCACAGCACCATGCTGCACGGCAACCCTCTGTCCTGCACTGGCTACTCTGCAGTATGAAGAGTGTAGGAGGTTGATTAGATATTTTTATAGAATGCTTCTTTGATTTCAGCATGAAAATGGGCTCATGGGTTACTAGAAGTTTGATAGTTTAGAAGTTACATGCCCTGCTAAATATTGACATGTTTCACTCCGAAATGTCATAAGTAAACGATTTGTAGTTTTGCCATCATCTGAAAGATTTCAACAACCATCAAAGGTATTATCACACAAACCAGGTCAAAACATTTAATTGGTTAGATGATTAATTACTAGGGATGTAACGATATATCGAATATCGCGGTAAATAAATGTGTCAATACCGTCGTGAGACTGAACAAATCTACCACGATTTAAATTTTTTTTTGTAAATATATATTTTATTTAAACCTTTATTTAACCAGATGGTCCCGTTGAGGTCATTGATCTCTTTTTCAAGGGAGACCTGTCCAACACGGCAGCAAGTAGGTTACAACATGAACATAAAACAACAGATAACACAAAAGGACATCGTATTTACAGGGCTACATGTACATACCTAGAGACATTGACAAGTACCAACAGTATATTTATATCTTGCCCTGTCAATAAGCCTCACCTTCTTGGCAAAAACTGTATTGTTTTTGAAGTGGTGGAGAGACAATGCACAGTTTGACCCACTGCTGTCACCCATGGCCAAAGCATATCTCTCTGTCCCAGCAACATCAGTACCAAGCAAGAGAGTTTTTTCCACAGCAGGGGATATTGTAAACGCCCAAACATCCCAGCTTCTACCTGGAAATGTGGACATGCTCATATTCCTAAAAGATAACCTTGATGATGCTGAGTGAGTGAGTGAGTGAGTGAGTGAGTGAGTGAGTGAGTTAGAGTTGAGTTACTTGAAGAACTAAAGTGAAACTTGATTTATTATATTGCAGGGTTTGATTATTATATTGTTGACACAAAAATTCAAATATGTTTTCTTTATTTTTCAATATCGCGATAAATATCGTACCGTGGACTTTTTATCGCGATATTATCGTACCGTGAGTTTTTGGTATCGTTACATCCCTATTAATTACACCAATAATCTAGCCAGATTATCTAATCCACTTGTTTTAGAAGGATAAATGTTATGTGCATGCACAACTGGCAGATACGGAGGGTCAAACTAAAACGAGGAAGTCTATCTGTAAACTTTGGGATGTTTACAAGACGCTTTCTGTAATAATTTGAACTTTAAGCTTTTTGTTCTTATCCAAATAAATGTGGCTAACTGAAGTATTTTTTTCCTTATTCTTCTGTATTTTCCGCTTTCTGTTCTCTCAAGTTTTGAGATCTCTGCAATTAAAACAGGAAGCATTAATAATATTATTGATGGCTGCATTTAATTGAAGGCGAGCCGGTTCTAGGACTGGCATAGTGCTTGATCTATCACTGTCATAGTTTACTATCCATGTACAAAATCCCACAACCAGTTACTGTGTTGCTGATGGTGGCATATAAAGGCGGGACTTGGCTATAGGGATCCAAATATTTTTGTTGAATATTCTTCAGGCTTCCTTTTGTTTGTTCTGTGAGCAAAGCTTATGCATTAAATCATAACAGCAATAACCCTTAATACACTCTGACAGGAAATAACTTCTTTTCATGGGAAACAGGATGGTAAGCAGTAAAGGTGATTAAAGCTCCCTTTATAGCTTACTATGGGCCGCTAATAGCTTCTCTTGGCAGACATAAAAATGCTAGATATGTTTGCCCAACTGTATTTGATCCTGAAAATCATTACAGCAATTTCCTTACTGAAGGTAGGTGCCATCACAAACGGAGATTTAGAGTAAAAATTAAAATGTTATATTTAGCTCCACGGTTGTGTTTTGTGTCAGTTTGTTTTATTTGTGGTTGGAGCCAGCTTGTGAGGAAAGAGAGGCTAAGTCATGGACATAAAGAGTAGGATTGACTCAGTGAAAGCATTTGAGTGTGTCTGAGCAGGTGAAAGAGTGGCTGGGTGTGCCTCACAGGTAGATACATTGATATTGCAGCAGCAATGACATGGTTAGATCTACAGGGACAATGGAAATTGAGAGACTAGCAAAGCCCCATCTGTTTGCTACAGGGAAGGGAAATAATGATGGATTCATTGTTCGGTCAATTCAGATTCAAAGAGACAGCAGGGGGGAGAGAGAGAGGGCAGGGAAGAGGAAGAGAGAGTGTAGCGTGTTGCAGAGCCCCTGTGAAGAGAGTGTGATTTCACAGGCCAAGTGTGAATGGCTAACACGGCTGAGTGAGGGAGGTGAGAGCACTGCCTGAGGTGAGAGAGCGAGGGTCTGTTGGCGCTGAGGCTGAGACCATGTCATGCTTACTTCTATTTTTCTAAATGTTGACAAATCTGCAGTGAACAGATGTTTTTCAAAAGTGCAATAAAAACCATGTTTTTATGGCAAAGATCAGCAGGAGGACATTTTCAGTTGGCACTAGGGCGGGGCATTATTAACATAATCTAATATCAAAAAAAATTTACCAAATGCTTCGATATTGATATTGTGACAACATTGTTGGGTTGACCATTGATGCCTTCACAAAATATTTACACCTTGAGAGTTTTGATAAATAATCCTCAGTAATGTGGATTCTTTTGACGTAGTGTGTAAAGAAACATACTGTAAAAGAAAACATGTTTAAGTCTCCAAGTTCAGAGAATTACATAAATGTACTGTAATGCAGCATTTAAACCGGGGGAAAATAATCATTTACGATACTATGATATCCAAATTCTAAGTCTCATGAAACCATATGGATATAATATCTATAAATTGCCCTGCCCTGGATTGCATTAGCAGCAACTTATATACTTATAACTCATGTCTGATGTGACTCCACCACTATCAATGCACACTAATAGATTGAGGACAAAAACTTAATTTAAAACACAATTATAGGGCCAATTTACCAACACATATGAAAGAAGAAAGATTAAGAGACACAGTTTGCTACTGCAGAAATGACATCCAGCTAGTGATTGCAAACTGCCTGTCTTTCATCTTCAGTCTGCCTTTCCACCTCTGCACAGCTTCTTAACACAGTGGTTCTCAAAGTGGGGGGAGCGCCACCCCTGGGGGGCGCAGAGGCATGCCAGGGGGGGCGCGAGAGACCAGGAGGAAAAATGGTTATAAAAAAAAAAAGATTAAAAAAAAAGAATTCATAAATTGAAAAATTATTGATTTGAAAATAATATGATGCAGTACTATTACGTATGGGTCTCTGTGTTTCATTAAAGCTCGGCTCTGTGTGTGTGTGGAACGAGCCATTTTGTGTGCGTGCGCGAGCGAGGGAGAGAGAGCGCACCGGTACCGGAGATTGTTGTTGTTAGCTTCTGGTGCTAGCGAGCTACGCTAACGGATATAAGGAGTTTTTTCAACAACAAAGTGGAGGAGAGTCCTCTCCTGTCAGACTGAGAGGCTCAGTGAGCTAAAGGACTCTCTCAGTGTTATCTCAGTGGGTCTCAAACGTTTTGGTCACCATTAATGTAAACAATTATTTCCGAGGCACACGTTTATATGATCATTATAGTTATACAAAAATAAGAGAATAATTGAAAAACAGGTATGAAATACTATATGACAGTAAAAAAAGAATAAAGTTTAAAAGGGTGATTTGTAAAACATCCATAAGGAAAAAGGAAATCTGTTTACAGTTCTGTTTCATCTGGCTGTTGAGAGATGTATCCACAGATCTCTTCATGTTGCTCTCAAAGTGCACCAGATTGATGCTTTTAACTTCAATATTTAAAAATAAATCTTCCCGGGGGAGCTTGCCCCAGACCCCCCTATATGTGAGGTCTACACACCACCTATAAAAATAGCACTTTACCCCTGCTTACACCTATATGCCTCGAGCCTTCATTGTAACCGTCACACTGTGTATGTGGTGTGGGGAGTGTTGCAGTAGAAAATTCCACTGTAGCGACCGGTACATTCAATGGGAAACCCTAAATGTTTGAGCACCCTCTATGAAACGCCAAGCTACCCGACAGCACCCCAAAATAAATATCTGGCGCCGCCACTGAGCCTGACTATTTGTGTTGGGGGGGCCCGACTTATTTTTTTCTCCAGAGCGTGATAGAAAAAGTTTGAGAACCACTGTCTTAACAACATTACACAGATGTACAACAGTAACAGCGAATTGACTGATCTGTCTCGTTGCATAAAGTACAAACCTAACTCTTAAATAGACATCACATTTAAATCTCTGATCCATTACGCTGAAGTGACTTTTAGTTCCTGATTTTAGTTAGAGTTCAGTTCCTGGGTTGGCAACCAGATGTATTTGGTCACAGAGGCTCACTGGTAGTCTAGCTCTTATACCCAAGGGAACAGAGACAAGGGGTAAGCAAAAGAGTGTTAGAAGAAGATGAGTGTTTCTGCAGTAAAGGTACTTGTAAAGAGTGATAATGGCAATGGGACGTTGAAACAGAGGAGAAGTAACAGCCCAGCCCTGTTTGTGACAGCTCTGCCCCAACGACAACAGGAGGAACATAACGGTATATGCCTCCCTGCGGAGCGACTGTTTACTCTTACGGCTGGCCTGGCCTGCAACAGTACCTTATTGCTGGCAAAGCACTTCTCCGCTGAGACTGTCAGTGTTAATTCAATTAACCGGGCACGGTGTAAAGGCTGTGTAATACAAATCTGTATGCAAATCAACCTGCTCACATAACTTATTAAGTCTAAATAATTACATTAAGCACGCTGTTGCACCAAATGTCCCTGTTTTGTTGTAACGTGTATTTGCTGATTATGTCTTCACTGCCTGCACAACAGCAGGGAGGTAGTTGAATCCAGTTAAACAAGGTATCAAAACAATACGGTTGTGGCCCACTTTTCAGAAAAAAGCCCCCTCTCCCTTCATTCCTCCACCCAAAGAGGGAATAAAGTTACTCTGTCACTCTGTCCTTACAGGCCTTCAAGGTCCTTGACTGGTGGGCAGTGAGAACAGATTCCTTTAAGTGAGCAATGAGCCTTAAAGTATAGAGAAAATGACCTTTGAGAGCTGCTGAGACATAGATTGAGGACAGACAAGGAGGACAGAGAGAGGTTTGAAGTAGTTGAGAGAGGAAAAGTTGCAGAGGGAGGAACTTTGTGAAGTCAGCACTGAGGGAGGGGTTATGAGTCCCTAATGAGACATGTCATGCTGCTGGTGACTGAAGGGTGACTGTCCCCAAAAAAACAATAGTCACCAGCCTCAATGACTACCGCCCAGTAGCACTCACCTCCATCATTATGAAGTGCTTTGAGCGGTTAGTCAAAACCTTCATCACCTCTTCCCTCCCTGACTCTCTGGACCCCCTGCAGTTTGCCTACAGAGCAAACAGGTCCACAGACGACGCCATAGCCCTCACCATCCACACTGCCCTCTCACACCTGGACCAGAAGAACACATATGTGAGAATGCTGTTCATTGATAACAGTTCAGCATTCAATATCATTGTGCCCTCCAAGCTGGCCATCAAGCTCAGAGACCTTGGGTTCAACAGCGCCCTCTGACTGGATCCTGAACTTCCTGACTTCCTTCCTCCACCCTGATCCTCAACACCGGTGCCCCTCAAGGCTGCGTGCTCAGCCCTCTCCTCTACTCCCTGTTCACTCACGACTGCGTGGCCACACAGCTCCAACACCATCGTGAAGTTTGCTGACGACAATACCGTCATCGGCCAGATCACAGACGGCGGCCAGACGGTGTACAGAGAGGAGGTCGGAAAACTGACATCTTGGTGCCAGGATAACAACCTCCATTTCAATGTCAGCAAAACAAAGGAGCTGATTGTGGATTACAGGAAGCGGCAGAGAGAGGGACACACCCCCATCGCCATGAATGGGACTACGGTGGAGAGAGACGGCAGCTTCAGGTTCCTTGGGGTCCACATCACTGAGGACCTGACATTGACTCTTCACACCACCACCATCACCAAAAAAGCTCGACAGCGGCTCTTCTTCCTCCGCAGGCTGAGGAGGTTCAACATGGACTCCAGGATACTCTGCAACTTCTACAGGTGCACCAGAGAGTATCCTGACTGGCTGCATCACAGCCTGGTACAATAGCTGCACCGCCCTTATTGTAAGGCTTTACAGAGGGTGGTGAAAACTGCAGAGAACATCACCAGGACGGAGCTGCCATCCATGAAGGACCTTTACTCCCAGCGGCTCAGGAAGAATCCCTCCGGATTATAAAAGACCCCCATCACCCCTGCCACAAACTCTTCTGTCTGCTGCCGTCTGGCAGGCGTTACCGCAGCATCCTGACAAAAACAACCAGGTTCAGAGACAGCTTCATCCCGCAGTAGGGCTGTACCCGAATATTCGACTTTTCGAATATTCGTTCGTTGGCCAACTATTCGGGTTTCAATTTCATTATTCGGATATTCGGTTTTTTTTTTTTTCAAAAAAATATTTTTTCCCCCCCTAAATATATGCATATATATACATCAATAAAGGCAAATTGCCATATTCTTATACTATATTTATACTTTTGAATTGCAGTGTTAAAATGCGGAAATATATACAATCTCAGCCTGTGCTCCTGACATCGCGTTCACTCAGTCACGAACGCAAACGGCACACCTCACCTCGCTTCACCTCGCTTCACCTCGTTTCACACACCTGAACACAAAATGCCGAAGACTTCAGCTGTGTGGGACCATTTTAAATTGGACGACGGTAAGAAGAAGGCAGTGTGCCATATATTCGACAAGAAACTGGCCTACCACGGTGGCACAACAACTCTGAAAAGTCAGCTGGATGCTGTAAGTAGTAGCTTAGCTTAGCTGTTGTCAAGTTACCATGATGAAGCTGCTTTATCCGCCGTTTAAACAGTAACGTTACACATGATAAAAATGTGCACTTACTTTGCTTGGAAAATAGTTGTAAGCAAGCAACTGAATTGTTTTTTATATTAGTTTTTTCAATTTTATCCGAATAGTGAAAATAATGGAGCAATGTGGGAACATCTGGGGCTAAGGCAATATTTTTTGGCATACAGTTTGTTCATTTATTTTTCGTTCTTCATTTATTTAAATACTGTTTACTGTATCGGTAACAAGTGTTACACTGTTAGGCCTACTGTTACGGCTATGTTATTAAAAGTATTGTTGTTATAACAGAAATATGTGTTTTGTATCTTCAGGTTGTAAAACGTTATTGACGGAATTTGGAACCAGATTTGGTCTCGGGCGCTGCACTGCGGCTGGGTTAAATGCAGAGGACACATTTAGTTTTAATGTATGCGAGTACTGAGACAATAAATAAATATAAATCGTAATAGTATGCTCTTTCTGTGCTTCTGCTTAACAGCGTTTTGTCAGGTGTCTCGGATTTGAAGCGTGTTATGAAACCTTTTGAAAAAAAAAAAATTGTATTAAAAAGAAAAAAATCTCTCCGCACTGAATATTCGAATATTCGCTGCTGATTACTGCCGAATATCCGGAGCCCGAAAAATGGTATTCGGGACAGCCCTAACCCGCAGGCAATAAGACTATTAAACAACTGAACTGCTGAAGCAATTTCGTAACATTCATATACTTAGTCATTATTTATTTATTATCTAATATATCATTCCAATAACTTGTATATAGACTCGTATTGCACTATTCCACTTTTTTTTTAAACTATTTTTCTTTTTGTATTACTTTTAATATTATATTTTAATATTGTTTTAATATTGTCTGCTTATCTGTATTGTTGTGTTGCATTGTTGGAGAAGCCTGTGACCTAAGATTTTCAACGATATATAATCTGTAGCTATGTTAGTTTGACAGTAAAGAACCTTGAACCCTAGAACCTTGAAATATATTTTAATATGCCCTTATATTTTTCAAGTAGCTGAGATGCATCTGGTCGAGCACATAGGCTACTTTGCATATATTCAACATTCTTCTTTGAATAATGCATGAGGGTCATGTGTCAAACGTGCGCTGTACAGCAGTTTCAGCCGCCCTTGCCTTTGTAATTTAAGGTATGATATACGCCAGGTCAACATAGACCTTTCTTTCAGGAATTGTCCACCTGGTGGCGCACATCAAATGTTTGTCTTCCAAGATGGTAGAGCTAACCTGGAACTATGAAGTAAAAGACATGTTTTTCTGTTAGTTTGAATCAAGAATAGTTCACAAACTAAAGAGTCACGACGAACATTTGTTTAATCCGGCCTGCAGAAAAACTCACATTTAGCAGGTTGATGTGATGGGGGTATTTATGCTAACAGCTTGACTACCAGGCCAACTTTCCAAGCTGGGCTGGTTTTTCAGAATTTGTAGCTGAACATGTCACACACAATGAATTGTAGGCACTTTGGGACATGTAGTTTTAATGACCAACATGCTGCAGACCACCAGCACAGATGGACTTCCTCATAATGGAGGCAAAACTTCCCTTCAATCTTGTCAAACACAAACTACTGTTTCCCCTGGTAGAAGATTTTCCTCCACCGCTTGCTGCCTTGAAGATGTTTTTGAGGCATTATTATATTGCATATATTAGGATGGTACATCATGAGTTCCTTTGCCAAGAAAGTGTCACATTTGGGGAAATCTGGTTGAGATACACAGTCAAACTATTATTCCTACTGCAACTTGGATGGAAGACCAGTAGTCTTCTAGTCCTTTTTCCGTGTGCAATATTGTTGGCTAAACTTTGTTTGTGTAGCCATTTAGTTTGAAAACTGTCAATTGTCATTCTGTCCCTAAATGAGAGTCTGGACCATACTGATTGACTTGTTATTCAACATTACAGAACCATTCACCTCAAACCAAAGCATCCTGGGAACTAAATGTGTTCTCTTTCGTTGGTAATTTATAGCAGGGCTCTGTAGATCTACTAATGGTGGATGATGATCACATGTTTCATCACAATAACACACAGTATAATGATCTTTGGACAAAAACATATTGTATGATATCACCAAGTCAGTCGCCATATGATTTAAATTCATATGGGGCCTTGGATCAGTAGGAGAGAAAAACTACAATATGATTTGACACAAGTTTTTTGCGGGTTTTCAAACATATTTGTCTTGTCATCATTTGATGTATTTGGTACATTTAGCGTTAGGAGGATTGAACGTTTGTTTTATGGAATACTGTAATTTAAAGGTTCTGTAAATGTATTGATCACTTTAAAGAATAAACACATTGATCATATTCCCAATTAAACTATGTGTAATTTTACAGGTGATGGAAATAACTATGGATTATAAATATATTGATACTTAGCAAATCTCCGGAAGTTTACTGGTTATATTAAGTGACATGAAACGGGAGGGACAGACGAGTAGACAAAGACAACTATAGATGGAGATACTGGAGAAGGCAAGAGGGCGCTTCTGCCACCGCCATTGCATGAGGTTGAAAGATCATCCGTATCCAGTAGCAACAGATGAGGAGGAACACCAACATTCTTCATCCTTTGCACCCATTCTATCATCTGGACCGGCTCACATACAGTGCAGGCCTCGTACTTCATCATCGTCCCACGGAAATGAAAGGCACAGCCGATCAGCTTGATACCCACTTGGTCTTTCCGATGTGCAGCTCACTCACAGCCCCCCTGCTGCTGAGATCTGTCGGACACTGTCCCCACGGTGACCACCATGGCAACCAAGGTCAAATTGGACACGCTGGATGTGGATTTAATTACTCCAAATCTACTTAACACACACACTCAATCTCTAATCTACTTTTGGTAACACACATACATATTCCTGCATGAATAGAAGTTAGTATTTATGGGAACAACGTGTGTGTGTGTGTGTGTGTGTGTGTGTGTGTGTGTGTGTGTGTGTGTGTGTGTGTGTGTGTGTGTGTGTGTGGCACAGACGTCTCATATACGTATTACAACCTGAAGATACAAAACACATATTTCTGTTATAACTTGCATCCAGGTGACTTTTCAGAGTTGTTGTGTTCAGGTGTGTGAAACGAGGTGAACAGAGGTGAAGCGTGCCTTTTGCGTTCGTGACTGTGAGTGAACACGATGTCAGGAGCACAGGCTGAGATTGTATACATTTCCACATTTTAACAGTGCAATTCAAAAGTATAAATATAGTATAAGAATATGGCAATTCGCCTTTATTGATAGCATACATTTAGGGGGGGAAAAACGAATATCCGAATAATGAAATAGAAACCCGAATAGTTGGCCAACTAACGAATATTCGAATAGTCGAATATTCGGGTACAGCCCTAAATTGCACACATACTCACATTCACATGCACTGACTTATCTCTCCACACACACACATACACACACACACACACACACACACACACACACTAACGCAGGGCATGTGTTTATCCTGTGACCAATCTTAATTGGAGCTGATATTCCTGTCCGATGGGTCCTCCTCTTGTCTCATCTCTTCACCTCCTCCTCCTCCTCCTCCTCCTCCTCCTCCTCCTCCTCAGCCTACTCTACTCGTTTCTTTTTTTGTCCTCTACCTTCCTCCTCTGTGTTTCTATTTTGGCTGAGTTGTGCCGACT